CAAGTACATAGTTCTAATTAGAGAATCATAAACTAACCTAGAGAGTTTTACAAATGTCCATTGGAATAATGCTTGTGTTTTCCATCTGTCGGCATATCTTTTCAGCTCAACATTTGGGACTATTTGGTTTGAGGCTTTTCTCAGCACATTTGGAAGCTACATCGCTGTTTGAGTTATGACCCTCACTGTTTTTGATGCATTGTGATTAGATATGTAAAATCCTGGAGGTGGTATATAGAAATAAGCACTACACATATAAGATGAACCCAGATACATTTTGTGATGCAGTTTGTAATACTTTTACATTCATGTCTTAATACTTATTTAATTGTAAACTGTTCTATTTTAAAGGCTGGTTTTATGTTCCTAATTGATGCAGCCACATTTACTTTGTGGTGCTTCTGTCAAAATTGAGGCTATATTGCTGTAAGGTAAATGTGCATAAGCTACCATTTTAAATCATCTTGCTGTGTAGGTCATCGCTGGCAGTGACTTCACCATAATTGATCTGATTGTATATATGACATAGCCCAGTCAATCTTCTATAATTTAGTTCATAATGACGATAAAGGCCAGCTAAGAATCTGAAGCTATTTACAATATAGAAGTGGGCAGATCATGTCTGTGGGTGCTTAATTCCCACGGGAGCTTTTCATTCTAACTTCTTGGTAGAGGGGATTACTTGGTGTACTGCTGCTATTACCTCCACTCGGAGAACTAGGTTGTGACTCAATAATGCTGCTCGTATACGTTGTGCAGTAAAAAATGATCACCTGACCAACATGGCGCTGAATTTTTAAAGCACCTTGCTCCGCCGTGATTTTTTCCCCTTGGATGATAGAAATGTTTACTTTTTTTCTTTTTTAGAAATTTCTATCATCTTGTTTGGGCTGGCAACATCAGGTTTATTTTCAGAGCTTATCTATGCTTGCTTCAGATCTTTCCCCTGCCTGCATACAAGACCTTGATGTTGCAATCTCAGTATTTCTTTTGTCATATACACACAGGGTAAAAAAAATCTCCTGGGTTTCAGTGAAGTTTAGATACCAGCTTATTGATGTTACAAAAAATAATCTTTAGTAGTTGCTGCCTATATGGAATGCCACAGACTCTTTTTTTAAACTACAGTATATTTCTTTTCTTTTTGCACGATAGCTTAATGCCTACAAGCCAAAAATGTATTTGGGTAGGAGCTTTCAGGTCCAGTCTATAAAGAATGCTTTGTCCTGTGACATATTGCATGGGGTAAAAGTTTGCTTGCATCCCATTGGACCTGAACAATCTTTTGCAGCTCCATATTTAAAATGGTTATCAGTCAGAGGGCTTTTCAACTGGTTACCAACCCACATTATAAATTCAGATGTGAACTAAAACATTTGACCACACAGGTTGTAACACTACCATCAGTACATACCTTGAACACTGAGGTGGTTGCCCCCACTTTGACTCCATTTGAGATACCCATCTTGATGAACAAAAATACAGCTATTGTTTGTACAGGAAGAGGAACTTATCCACAATTCAGTTATCGTTCTTCCTTTATTTAGGCTTGACCTAATCACTGTTGAAAATTGGCATGTTGAATCTTGATTGTTTCTGGTACATTGATCACAGATAAATTGCTTTTATAGGGTTAGTGGTTGATTAACAGCTTAACTTTGTATTTTACTGTTGTCAATTGAGTTCAAGTACATTTTGTATTGTGGAATTTTTAAGGAAAAGCAAGATAATTGAGACCAAAGTTTAGGTAAATAGGTGTGCATTTTCTAAAATTGAGAGTATGATGTACAGTTTGACAGAGCAACTGGCATCTAATTAGTTGGGTTCCAGCTTGTAATGAATCCCAAATTTTCAAGTTTTTTTTGGTATTCTTACCTAATCTGGTGTCAGCTGTGTTCCAGAGTTACTTGGTGCGCTTAGCTATTGATTATTTGTTTACTTTTTGTAAAATCGTTCACTTCCGTTTTCACTGCTTGAATAAAAACAGCTTTCAGGAAAAGGGATTGCAAGTGGAGTTCTGTGTTGGGTGGCTATTGTTCGTGATCTGGCTGTTGAATCAAGTTGGGGTTTGCATGTTTAGAGTCTTTTAATTTTATTTCTGTGTTCCAAACCCTGGACCCTCCGCCCATCGTCGGCAGCCACTGCGCCCCAAAGCTGTGGAACTCTCCCTCAATCCCTTCGCCTTACACCCTCTCTCTCCAGATTGCTTGAAGACACTCCTCTTCGACCGTGCCTACAGTCACCTTCTCCCTCCCCCTAGCTCAGCATCGAGCACCATTGCTGTTGAGTACTCCGAGACACTATATAAATGCTTGTTGTTATACTTAAGCAATGATTGAAATTATCAGGAAACCAGCAGTTCACGATTCTCCTTCGAACATTTACAGAGTGGTATTTCTAGTACTAGTACCAATTGTAGCTTACTGAACAGTATGTGTATGCCTAATATGTTTTCAAGAGTGTGGAATGCAAGTTCACATCTGCAACATCAAGGGAAAGATTATGCCCCAAATTAATACAGTGGCTGGTCTTTTGTATTGTTGTATTAGATGATATGAATTGTTTGAGCAGGTACAAGTTTGATAACCGGGAAAGTCAATCAATGGCTGCGATGCAGACTACTTTTTTTAATGAGTACCAAAACTTAGAAAGTGTAGTTGAGTAATTATATGGCTAGCTTTTCAAAAGCCATATTTCCACGGTACTGTGAAATTTGTTTTAAAGTTAGAATATCAAATAACAGATTAACATTCTTTTATTTAATGTTTTGCATATCAATTCAAAAAATCAACATTTGTCCTCTAAACGTAGTTGCATAAGCAATGAAGATTTTGTAGCAGTGCAATGTATGTCGCATTTCCTGGTATATGTGGGTTTAAGAAAAATCTAAATGCCTGTTATGTAAATGCTTTAGGGTTGAGGTGGCAACTGTGGTAAATCCTATTTATGCTTCGTAGTACAGCCTTCAAATGAGGGGTTTTCTTTTTAGATTGCAGCTGTCACAGTGATTTATAACAGGAAGCAAGTCTTATCGTGTGCAACCAGAACTATGGATTGTAGGTTTGAGTAGTGTTCTTGGTCTCTAAAATTGATCTGAGTTTAACTGTTGCACAACAATAAATAATCAACGACTGTTCTGTAAAATGTATATTACATTACATTATTGCATTACTGTGTTTAATGCAAAAAAGATCAGAATAAATTGTATATCTGCACGGATGCCTGCAATTAATGCACATATCTGCATAAAACACATCTAGAATAGGGCTGGCATTCATCAATAAAATGTGAAGCTGTAGATCTGCCTTCAATCCTTCGAGCTGAAATGGGTGGGCCACATTTATTGGGACAGGTACTGTGTTGACATTTCTATTAGAGTATTGCACAGAATTTATAAGTACAAATTGCCCTTGAGTTACAAATGTCGTCTTGAGTAGAATTAATTCTACGTTTCCTTAATATTGTAAAGGGTAGTCCTGTGTACATCCAGGTGTAGTGCATCATTTATTAAAACATTGGATACTATATAAAAGGGTGAAATTATCCCATGCTTTCTACTGTGCATGTTTTTAGGTTCCTTTTAATTATTTCCCATTATCGTAGAATTGTGCATTATTATAATTCAAATAGTGATTGGTTTCACTTTTGACTATCAACTTGTTTTAAATACACAGTAAAGTAAAATATTTCTAATAGTAAATACATTTGATATGGTTCTGTTGATTGTGGAGGGTGCAGTGGAATATGTTTTGATGTCTGTTGCATCTAAAATATTCATACTTCAGAGGAAATAATGGCCATTATAATTATAAATTTCAAACGTGCCTCAAAATTAAATTTCTTAGGTTACTTTGACCTGGGATTAGAGAGGTAGAAATTGTTTAACATTTTCTTAAATACTTAATCCTGAAGACTCCGTGGCTCTGCTCGGGGCTTCATTTGAGATGTGCCACTTTTCTTCATCAGGCTTGTTATTGGTCAAAGCTGCTCTGTCCCATTGTAGGAAATATTCGGGTATCAGTGGAACTATCCAGTTCATTGTGGTCTATCCGTTCTGATTAATGTTCCTGAGATAGTCTTCTTTGAGATTTTTAGACTAATTTCCTACATTTTCTCCATAAGTGGTGAGGAAAGAAAAGTGTCAGAGTGCTTCCCGTTCTGCTCCAAGCTTCATCTACTAGATCCAGATGAACTATTGACAAAACACATAGATTTGAATATGATACCAACAATTTATTTTTCAGCACAGAACTGAAATTAAATCTGAAACGTTATGGAATGTATGCCTTGGTACTGCACTAAGCCATACCTTTTATCTACTAAGCTAGCTGAAGAGCTGGAATGTACCTTTTAATAACAACTGACCTACAGTACTGATGTCAGTTCTGGATTTGCTAGTACAGAAATGCAGAACCACTTGAAATGGTTCGCCATTAAAGGTAATTCAGTGCTGTGCTGATCTATTTTTGGTCTACAGTTTAATTGAGCAATCAAAACTGTGAATAGGATTACATACATTTGATGTAGCCATTATATCTGTTGCACAAAATTGTTTTTTATATATAAGAGCACGTTGAACAAAGTTTAGGAAAATCTGGAAAATGCTGTAACTTTTTTTTGTTCTTGGTCTTGATTGAAATATTGGTGTTTTGTAGATATCGTGTAATTCTAGAATATATTGAGTCGGAACACCAAATTTTGGTCCTAGAGCAAGAAAGAAACTGGTGACTAATTATTTATCATAAATAATCCTGGAGACTGTATTTTGCAGGAATATATTTCGAAAAAGGAAGGTCGCAAACACTTCACTACCTCATTGGAGTTGAAGTAAATATGCTTCAGATAATAGGATGGCTACAACAGTAACTAGGAAGAAACCAATCGCTACAGTTTGGCAATAGTGTAATTTGCAATCTCTTGCATTTGACTACTCGGTTGGTTTCTATCAATTAAATACTGATGTACAGGATTCTTTGTTGTTCTTAACCTTTTGTAATCAGATATTTATCCAAACATCATTGCCATGGGGTTTCCAGCGGATAGACTTGAAGGTGTCTACAGAAACAACATTGATGACGTAGTGAAGTAAGTACTTTTATTCAACTTTTCATTTTCATTATTTTGATCCTATGAACATTCTGTTGTCTTAGTCAAATAAGCTTGTGCTTTTTTTGGATACTAATTATAGTACGTGAAGTTAGTATAAATGTTACAGAAAATGTGGCTTCAGTCTGAAAAAATTCCTATTGTGTACAGTCATTGGGGACAACCCATATCCCTCTTTCAAAGCAATCCTAAATTTTATTTTGGTAACATGTATCGACTTTTCACATTTTTATCTTCATACCAGCCTACGGATTCTGCTTTCTCCAAGATTCTTTCTATCCTACAGCTTACATCAGCAAGATTTATTGCCACTTAAAATCAACCTGAACTAAGAAACGTTAATGTTTGTGGGAAGCCTAAAAATTCCAATAGTAGTTGTACATGTTACATTTGGCATTTTCAAAAAATTCTATTGTGTCTTGGTTGGCCAGTTTGATGCTTGCTTTATTTTCCAGAAGAGTTTTTGGTTTTCTTTGCTATAGAGTTGTTAACAATATTCTGAAATAGCTTGAACTATAGAAAATCACTAGAGTCCCATTTTATCCATGCACCATGTATCTTGTCCTTTTATCCGCATAAATCACTAAAGCGAAAATTAGACATGGTGCCTGCGAGATGCCAGAAAATATACTGTTGTATACGTTCTTCTAAGGGATAGAAATAGAGATATTGAAGAAATAGAAAGTTAGAGGGAGACTGAAAGAGAAGTGAGTAAAAGGGAAAAATAATTCAGAATAGCAAAGTTGTTGGTCTCAATTAGCTGTCTACTGTAACTTGTTTTATCTTACTTCTATGAACCCCAAAGGTTTAAAATCACAACCTATCTAGTTTAAAATCAGTTGCTGGTTTGAATCCTTTTTTAGGAATTGAGGTGGATAGTTAACTTTGAACTAATTTTATCATTCAGAAGAATGAGCCAGATTGCTTGGGTCTTTGTTTTATTAACTCTTCATTGGAGCTATCAACAACAACTGGAACAAATTGCATTTAAAAAGAGCCTTTCATTTAGGTCAATGTATTGGGAGTTTTCTACAATTAACAATATCCTACTGTAATCCCATATTTCTGCTTTTTGTCCACAACTTTTGTCAATGGAAGATTACTCTAAACTGAGTGGCAAAAGCCTACAAGGAAGTCCAGTGGTTCTGATGGTAATGAATGAAGATTAAGCAGTTTGTAATCAACAAAACCTTCAAATTGAATTACCATAAATATTCTGCAGAATGCCGAGTTTCTTTAAAATGTGTAAAATACAGTTTCTAAAGTGCTTATCAGGGTTCATAAAATCCCAACCTGTGTAATAACATCACGTTCACTGTGCAAAACGTACTCACAAAAAGACGGTGGCAACTCAATAGCCTAGACGTTGGCCATTTAGGACCACAGGAAGCCTTGGGTCCACAGGGCACCCATTTTATTAACAACTGTTCTAAAGGAGTGGTTTATTCTGTATTTTCTTTAAGCACTAGGATTAGCAACACTAAAATACCTATATCTAGCAAAAAAATATGTAATATGTTTTTAAAGAGTATGTTGGGATTTTAAAATATTGCCCAATCGATATTTGAAATATAAAAAAGAAACTCCTTTGTAAAATGTCTGCAGTTTCTATGGATGCCAATCAGGAAATGGTTTGATGGGATAATTCAGTTTGAGCTGAGTATTAAATTTCTGCATTGGCAGTATTCCAATCTGCAGGATTCCCTATGAAGCTACTCATTGATGCTTCTCTTGTTCATGCCAACTAAACAGCTCCTTGTAGAAAAGTGTGTGGGAGGGTGGGGTGCGGGAGAGAGAGAAAACTAAAACTATAATGCTCCCCCAGGATTGATCATATTTTTGGATTGATTTTGTTTAATTATTAGATGGTGCAGGAAATTTGGTGTATACTGCTGTATGCATCTGATACTGAATTTAACTTGCATCAAGTGTTTCTTGATCAGCGTTGAGAACCAGAAAAAGAATTCTGATTGTGTTGCTTGTTACAAAGATGTTCACTGATTTCTCATCGTTGATGTTGCCTTTGTTCTAAGCTAAGAGACCTTAATGGCATGGCTCTACGGAGGTGGAGCTAACAACATGCATTTAAAATGTCTTCCAAAAGAGCTAAAACAATGTTTTAAATCGCCTGGATGGAAGTCTTTTTTTCTCATTGCGTTTGTTTAATGTCAACCATATTAATGTGCTTCTAGGCTCCACCATTCTTCCTGACCCATTTCAGTTGCTGATAACCCTTTGTATAAGGAAATATTTCCTGATTTCTATCTTAAAATTTCTTAACCACCCTGAACCTATGTCCTCTTGTCTTGCTGCTGTAGCATTTCTGAACAAAGTGTTATGTTTTTACTTTCTCCTGCTTGGTGCATTGAAACAGAGTTCCCCTGACTTGCTCTGACACCATCCAGTTACTTGTATGACTTGATATTTACAACTTCTTTTAGAATCGTATTACATAACCGTATTTTAAGACCCAATTTTTAATTAATTATATGCCTGTTAGAAAACATTGCACCATTAATCCTATGACACAACTCTTCAGTAAATATTAAAAATTTAGTTTCCCTTGTATCACAGGTGAGGTACCTTGTTTGTTTGGCCAACTGTTGGCTTCAACAAAATCAGGGGTGACCTTCTAACCTTTCCTTGTAAAAGTATTTTACCATGTTTTCATTCTGCTTGCATCTGTCGCATTGCTTTAGTTTCTGCACCAGAAAACATCATCCAACTAGCATGTGTTAAATTTACTTATAGAGCCTCAAAACGAAGTGACATCTCAGGATTTGTAGGAAAGGATATCTCCTAGCATAAGTCAATGTGTGTGCTTTCTGCAAAACAATCCATTTGACCTTATTCACTGTTGATTAGCTACTTGCTTTGAAAAGCTTCCATTCCCAGTCGCTCAAGCACCAATGTTCTCCACAGCGCCTTTGATTGTCTTTATTGGTGCTTATTTATTCTCTTTATTGCCATAGTCCCATTCTTTAATCCTATCCTTATCAAAGTATTCATCCAGATTTTATTTCCAAAATAATTAATTGATGCTGCTTTAACTGATTTTATGCAAAAACTTACTAATTGGAGGAGAGGATGGGACACCTTCCTCCCAGAAAGAGAAAAATACAGCAGAAGTTGGTTCCGGTAATATTGGTGCCACCGCCTTGATTCTGTATAAGACCACATATTGTACTATATAGATTTTTTTATTAGAACTTGATAATTGTGCAAATGTAGTTCAGTGCTGTACAAAGGATCTATTTATGTCCTGTTTAAACTGCTAGGAGCCAAGCAATATTGCTTCTAACAGTACAGCAATGTAGTGTGGTAAGCTTGATTTACACTTCCTGTTCTTAGCATGTTGGTCAGGGAATTTTTTTTGGTGATGTATGCAACTTGTGCAGAATCAAGATTTTTTTAAACAAAATTGTATCAAAGAGCAATTGCATGTCAGTACCATTTAAAATGGTTCCTTAGAAATTGTTGGAATGTTTTCAAGCAACCATTAGAAACGGAACCTGAATTACTTTGCACCTACGACATTTAGACTCCAGCTGGGTGAATCAAAATGTGAATGAAACGGTTCCTCAGGTGGTTGGAGCAGCTAGGCTCCAGTGCGGAATTGCACCTCACAAAACATTTATACTGCATCTCCAATTGTTTCAATATTTTAATTCTAATGCACAATGATATTCAATTTAGAATGGTGCCATTACACTCAAGCAGACTGAAAATTAACTCTAGCCTTTCAAAAATTGCTAACTGATTAATTGGAACCTCGCTTGTGTATTGATTTTGATGCATCTGTATTACTAATTTCTAGTTCTACAGATTTAAACTCAGATTTACTGCTTGAATCCCTGCAAGAGATTTTTATACCAGTGAAATTTATACTGCTGATGGTATAAAGCCAAAAACAATACTGAAGCAGCTTAGGTTGGGGAGGGGGTTCTCACCTTACATCACCAGCATGCTTTTGCCAGTGTAGTGCAAGTAATTTTGTAACAGTAATTTGAATTGCTTTATGCAGATGATGACCTATCTTTGTTTGATTTTTTTAAGTGTAGATCAATTGTAAAACTTCTTTTATAGTTTAAATTCGAGTTTTTCAAATGAACAGACTTGAATGGTTAAATGAGCTGTATGTGAACTTGATTTGACCCTTGTGTTGCATTGTCCAAATAACTTCCTCCTGTTTTCAAACAGGACATGTGTCATAGAGACGTACAATGGTGCAGCCATGTTATTAGCAGGATTCTGTTAACAGAAAAGATTAGAGATGTTGAAATAAGTTTTTCATTTAACCTGAAAAGCTCAAAAATTAAAGGGAAAACAAATGTATAATAAAAAAGTATTTTGTGTGATTATTTTATGTAAATCTGACAAGTAATTTTGAGCACTTTTAGCATCTTTGTGGAATAAAACAGTTTTTCTTGTGTATTTGTACGCAATAATTGGGAAATTGTTTGAAACCGAGGATTAGAATAGTAACCACAGGGTAGATTGCCAGCTCTCCTTACTCTCGGGCAGACCAACAGTGCCACTTTGATATCCCTCGAGTTGTCGCAAATATTTTTTTAAGAATGACTATTAAAATCACTTGTTGCTTTAACAAAAGATTGACGTAAATAAATTCCCTTAATCCTAATCGTGAGCTATCTTTGATTTCTGAAATACTCTGAAAGAGTTTACATCTTCCATTAGGTCATGCTTATCTTAGAAAATAAGCCTACAATTTATGGGTATAATTGTATGTGCCAAATAACAGTGTTGAATGAACTGAGGACAGATCACTTTATGCACAAAATGCAGTTGTAAAGCAGGATTAAAGAAAATACAGTGCATCTGGAGTATCCGTAGTTGGCATTGCTGTGTTAAAAGTTGCTGCATTCACCTGCATAATACAGTCACACCACTTTACAGGATGACCTGTGAAAGGCTTTGAGACATCTCAGCGACTGAATAAGGCGCTATATTAAATGCAAGGATTAGTGATGCAGACGAAAAGGTCCTCAGTGGAGAAATGGGGTGCAGACTTGATTCCTTCCTTGGCACTTCATGAAATTTGAAAACCTGGGTTGGGGGGAGGGGAGAAAGAGTCTGATAATCTGGAGACGCATTTGCCTGTGGAAGCAGTAGATAACAGCCCTGTGTATTGCATCATGAGTATGTTGGTCAAACCGCAAGTTTCATATGACCTCAGGATAATTGAATTCACCAACAGCAATTATGCCTAGGAAAGGAACAAAATTTGCTCTGAATGTTAATGTCTTGCTAAATAACCCACTCATTACCGTCTTATATGGCGTTTGGGGTAACTCAGTGTAAAATGCTAATGGAAAATATGGAGATTGCATTTGCGTCTGAAGGGTGCACCCATTAATTCTGAAGAATGATGCCATTCCTTTTTTTTTGCTCCTAAAGTTATTTAAGATTTCTTAGGGTCTGAAGATATGCAGTTCTAGATAAAGCAATTTACTAGAATTAATTTGACATTTGATAGTAACCTGAAAATATGATTTTGATTTGTGCATTTAAAGAAATATTTAGGACTACACTCAACATATGGCCATGACGGCGTCTCGGAGCGCTTAAATAACCCAATAGTCCCATGGTTATCTGATCAAATTGTGATTCCAAGGGAAGTGAATTGTTGATAGAAAGTGACTTTGGGTGTTTTATGATAAGGATAACCTCTTCAATGATGGTGCCACCAGCAGCTGTTCATTTAATCCGAACATCCCTAGATTTAAAAGGAAGCATGCATGTTGTCCTTTTATGAAGTTGTCTAAATTTAACTTATCCACTCTTAAGCTGGTAACAAGAGGAAGAAGCAATGGCTATGGGGCTATGTAGCGATTTAAAAGCCATTTGACTGCCATTGTTCTTTGCTAGAACCCACATTTATTCCTTTTCTCCTTTGCTTAACAGTACTACTGTTCCCTACTGCAGTGAAAGTTTTGAGTTTTTAAAGTTCCTTGATTAATAAAGTTACATTGGTCAATGTTGGGTCGCTCCTTTAGCCAATTATCTATTCTTGCCTTAATCATTATATGTTTACCATCACAGAGGAGGCCTACCCAATTGCATTTTATTCTCTTTTGTTTTTTGAATAGAATTATTACATTTTAATTTGAAAGAAAATGTACATGAATACATTTTTGACACTTAATCACTTCATTAATAAATTGTTTTATACTGATTTACAAATGATGGTTTGAAGTTTAGTTCTAAATATTTCATTTGAAACTTTAGAAATAATGCTCTATTGACACCTTAATTTTTTTGACCTAGATTCCTGGATGCAAAACATAAAAACCATTACAAGATATACAACCTGTAAGTATTTCTTTATATTATTATGATGTCCCTTGTTTGAAGATGTTATTAGTTCAACTCAAAACAATTAAAATATACTGTTGTTTTTTGAAAGCTGAAGTGTGTTTAACATTCAATGAAAATGTTAAGGCTGATGTGAACTCTTGATTGGAAGTATTTTTTTTTGTTTTGCTTTTGATAACTCGCTGTTGTAAGCAATTACTGGAATCTACTGTATCTTCAGTTATTTTCACTGTTAAATTAAGAAAAAATGTCTCAAATTATCCAAATCTAGTAATAATGAGACATAATGGCATGAACGAGGGTGCAAAACATTAAACAAATTAAATAGAATTGGAGAGAAGCAATAGTTCAAATGCTAGTGGTTGAGTAATGCAGAATTTGGCACTGAAATGCCTGGAGGAGAAAGGGTTGATTGAGGGAGATCGGGCGTTCCACGGTCTTGCCGTTTGAGTAACAAACAATGCAGTGTTTTCGTCTTAATGTACGTGTGCTTATTTAGAGCTGAAGCAGAACAAGAGGAAAGTAGGAACGTTTGGAAGAGCAATAAACACATAATATAGTAGTTTCTAAAAAGAGAAAAGGGTTTTGATAATAAAAGGTTGGAGGGCAGAGAGAAGACTAGGATCCTCTGTACAATGAAATAATTTTCTGCAGAACCTCATCTGATGTGGAAGCTGCATTTAAGTCTTGGAGCGGCTGGAGCTTTATAGAATGGTAATAGTTATCGAAAGAAAAATAATTTAGTATGAAAGTAGAACCCGAGCTTCTAGAAGGTAACTTAAGTGGTGGAGAAAATGTGGAAGGTCCTTTTGAGATTTGCAGACATGGGTCAGGAATATGAATAGATGAAGAATTTGTAAGGTTGGAGTCATAAAATGTAAAGTGTACAAGCTATTCAAAGATCCAGGATTGATTGTCCTAATGGAAGGGCTTCTAGAATACTGGATTACATTTTTCTTCTCTTCAGACAAGGGAGCATACCTTTAACAAAATGTGTTACCACCAAATCCTGAGTCTGTTAAAAACAGCACAAGATAAGGCCTGTTTCAGGGATCAGCTGCCAAATTTGGGAAGTAGTGATGGGTATTGGCAGAAGTCTTGTTTGCTCCGTACCAGCCCATACAGCACACCTCTACTCATTTGGGCATGTTTTGAAAAGCTCAGTAATGAATCAGTGTTAGTTTTAGGGAGAGAAGTTTGTCCATCTTACTCTTTCTTCTCCCTTCCCAAGTTGAAGCTTAATTCTTAAACATTTTAAAATAAAATGATTTGCTCCATGGCCTCTCTTTAAATGTAGCCCTAGTATCTTCCACTGAACCCATCTGGAAAAGATACAGGAACCACGGAAGTACATTTATTTTCACAACATAAGCTGGGAAATGCGTAATGTAGCCCGTCAGCTAAATTTTCCCAGATGTGCTTAATAGTAACTGGGAAATTAGGTTTATAGCTGAGAACAGAGGTTCACTTGGGACTTGGGCCTTCAAATCCTTAAAATCCCATAACATTAGAAAAGCCATTTTTAACTAGTTATTTTCAATATATTATGTCATCATTTGATTTATACACTCTAGACAAATTTAAAAAAAGCGCCCCATATCTGCATACCAGATAACCACTTGTTTGTTCAAATACAACCCAAGAATACCATACCAAGAATCTTTAGTTTCACATAGTCTTAATGCATATGTGTATCTAGCGGCTGAATTTTATTGGGCATCTGTGTTTTAATTAACAGCAGGAGTTTTTGATTGTATGTTTCTGAATCTAATACGTGTACAGTTTGATAAGAGAAGAGCTATCACTGATTGCCCTGTGGGTGGAGAGAAAAAGACCACTTGACCCTGTGAGGGACTGAGAAAAGCATTTCTACTGTGGTGGAAGAGCTGACATTGAAGAGATAAAGGACAGGCACAATATGTAAAGAATTAGAATTGTGGAAGAGAACTGGGAAAGAGAAGGGCTGGCCTTGTGTGGGTGGAAGAAGAAAACTGGTACGGTGTAATATTATAGTGACAACATAATATCTGATGGTTTTGGTCAGTGCCTTACCCTGGATTTGTGTGATGGTGCCACACTTTATTCTTATCCACAATGAGACCTGGTCACAATTCATGTGGATATTAAGCACATCTGGGAGGATTTAGCTGATGGGCTGCAGTTATCCATTTTCCCAGCTTCTGTTGTGAAAATAAATACACTTCTGAGTTTCCTGTGTCCAGCTGTCTGGTCGGCAACTTAAATTTGACATTTGAAATGAATCAAGCCAAAGTACTATGTTTTAAGATAGTGGCAGTATTGATACTGTGTGTGTGTCCTTGCACATTTACAAAGTGCGCTGAAGACCTTTATTGTGGAGACCTGTAGCTCAGTGGTTAAAGCACTCACCTTGCAAGCGAGACACCTGGGTTCAATTCCAGGCAGGGCGAAACCTTGGGCAAGTTTCCTTACTCCACACGCCTAATAATAATCCCTCCAAAAACAAAAACGATAATAGATTGGTCACTTTCAATCCACAACTGTTTGTGGGACACTGCTGTGCGCAATTGGCTGCCACGTTTCGCCCACAAATATACGGTCATTTCACTTTACAATCTATTCTGTGAAGCGCTTTGAGACGTCGAGAAGATGTAAAAGCGCTATATCAAATGCAAGGATTATTATTATTTATATTAGAACGCTGCTCTTATTCCTGATTACTTAAATGCAATGTTGATTTTTAGATAGTCGATTCTTATCAAAATTGTAGATTTAATAGTGGTTTATAATAAAAGGAGGTGTTTCATCTTGATGGGGCAGTTATGGGAGGAGTTTAATGTGGTGTTAACAGAGGCAATTTTAAATATCTCCGGAAAAGATCAAATTTATCATCAAGAACTGTTTTGAAGGATGCCATTTTTAGCTGCTTGAATCAGAGAATCCCACATGGAAAGGTTTGATTTCTATATTTTTATGTATGTACAAACTGCTTGCACAGGCAACCAAAAAAACGTTTTTTTAAAATGAAAAAGACATGTATATGGTATTGTGTGCTAATTTACAATTCAATTATTACGATTAAGTTTTGTTTTTCTTTCTCTCCAGATGTGCAGAAAGACATTATGATGCTACTAAATTTAATTGCCGAGGTGAGTTAACTGTTTGGGGATCTTGCATTATGAGATTAATTCGTAGAGATAGTACCAAGTTAGTTTGTTTGCATTGTCATTTGAAACGGTAATAATGAATCTTGGTCCTGTGTTAGTATTTTGTATGCTGACGATATGTGTGGCATGAGTTTTTAAAAAGGCAGAATAAATAAACTTGCTTTTAGTGAAGTATGTTGCTGATATTTCATTTTATTTTGCTTTGACAATCACTATTTTCTGTATTGTGATTTATATCCTGGTACAGAATAATGGTTCCAATATTAATCTATGGTGAAGACCCCTTTAATAAAATCTTTATTCAGTATCAGCTAACATATTTCTACCACAAGGTTTTAGTGTCTTTGAATAACCTCATTTATTCCTTTAGTCGCACAGTATCCTTTTGAAGACCACAATCCACCACAGCTAGAACTCATCAAGCCATTTTGTGAGGATCTAGACAACTGGCTGAGTGAAGATGATAACAATGTTGCAGCAATCCATTGCAAAGCTGGAAAGGGACGAACAGGTGTAATGATCTGTGCTTATTTGCTACATCGAGGCAAATTTCTTAAAGCACAAGAAGCCCTAGATTTCTACGGCCAAGCAAGGACCATAGATAAGAAGGTCAGTGAAAATAGTCTTTGTTTCAGTCACTTGTAAAACATTTGAAAAAATAGTTACAAACATTTCTTAAAGGAAAACATGTTAGTCCTTAGATAGATGATTTTCTTTTAAAAAAGACCTTTTCTGAGCTAGGATTTTAGAATGTGCAGTTGTCCCAGGGAGTAAAATCACCTGAAAGCATCAGCTTTTAAATGTTATCTTTATTGACAACTGTATGAATGTTTTTTAAGTCACTCTGAGGCCTCATTATGGACTGCCATATGGATTGCATTTGATACCAGCAGATCTGAAATTCCCACACATTTTAAACTGGTGGTGACAAATCCAAACTCCCCAATGAGAGTAAAATAGGCCAGAGTGCCTTTAATAGTGAGTTTCCACTATGTAGAGATATTCTGTGTATCTAGGGAAGTAACAATATTATTTTTAATTTAGAATTTTAAGAGTTATCAATAGTCAAATGTTAATTGAGGCTTATTTTAGCTCATTCGCTTGGGGAAATCTAGCTCTCATCTTCACATTCCTGGAAAGAATGCAAAGGAAGAGCTAGTATTCCAGTGTTCCTATGTAAATGTTTCAGGAATTGGTAAATTATACATAATCTGTTTTAAAGTATGCATGGAACAGAAGGCTATGGTAATAGATTGGTTTTAAGATTTGAGATGAAAATTCTCCTTGGTAGTGGTAGAAACAACTTCAAAGTATTCACTTAATAAACGTTATGTACTTTTCAGGGTGTAACGATTCCCAGCCAGAGGCGTTATGTACATTATTACAGCTACCTTTTGAAGCACAAATTGGAATACAAACCAGTGGCATTACTGTTTCACAAGATGCGGTTTGAAACTGTTCCAATGTTCAGTGGTGGAACATGTAGTAAGTGACCTTTTTAAAAATAATTTTGTATTGGAAAAAAGTTAAACTGTAAGACTGCTATCAATGCTGTGGAAACTAAGTGGCAATATAAAAATCCTATGAAAAGTGCTAAATTGTGCAAAAACTAAGGCAAACGTTTTCAGTTAATACTTCAGTAGAATGTTGTGGCGAGCTGCATTGTCGCAGGTGCTATCCTTCGGATGAGATGTTAAATCAATATTCCATTTACCTGTTCAAGGGTGGATGATAAAGATCCCATGATACTATTCAAAAACAGGAGGCAGTTTCTCCCAGTGGTCTGGGAGGCCAACAATCCCCCAGGAAAAATTGGTTGTTCAGTTCATGGCCGTTTGTGGGACATTGCTACGTGCAAATTGGCTGCTATGTTTTCCTATCAATGCAGTCACTATACAGTAAATCCTATGAAGCACTTGAGATATTTTGTTGACGTGTTAAGATGTTGTATCAAATGCAAGGATTAGTATTCTTGTTTTTTTTTAAAAAATAACTTCCCAAATCAATATATTTACCAAACAACTTCTGGCAATAGCTCTTAGGGGCATTTTTGTGATAACTCCATTTGTTTGTTGTTCTATGATGCATTACAAACTGAGCAATGATATATTAGTATATGTTTGTGTTTATGACGAGACTTTTTTTACTATTGTGACAAAAAAGCTGATTTGTTTGCTCTTTAGATCCTATGTTTGTGGTATCTCAGCTGAAGGTGAAGATCTACACTTCCCCTTTGGGACCGACCAGACGTGAAGAAAAGTACATGTATTTTGAATTTCCTCAGCCCTTGCCAGTATGTGGAGATATTAAAGTGGAATTCTTCCACAAACAGAACAAGATGATGAAAAAGGTTTGTTCCTCCCAGATTTTCAGCTCCTTTATTCCTTAGTTGAGAGTATAAATGTTTGATTATACAATGAGGCGTATAGTAAGTTTATTCTGATTGTGCTAAAGGAGTTTTGCCATCCATGCCCCTTTTTTAAAAAGAAAAGAAATTGCACATATTAGTGATGTCCACATTATACTGCCATTACAGATATTGCTGATTAACTGATGAAAACAACAATCTTAAATAGGTCTAATGACCAGATCAATGTTTTGAAAACCTTTTGAGGATCATAGTTGGTTAATAAAAGGGCTTAAGTGTATTTGCAACAAGAGAAATGATCATTTTTTTACTTAGATAATGTAACTCGTCTACTTTGTATTAATTTTACCTCAGTTCTAATTTAAAATGATTCTGTGATCGATGTAATTGAATTAAGCAGGGAATCTACTTTGTGATGTTTAAGTGAAATTACATAACTTTTGGGAAAAAAAGTGATGGTTTAAACAATCGATCTGCATGGTAATCTTTTTTTTAAAAAAATGTTCTGCCTACTTTTGTTTATTTACTAGGGAAATAAATTATGTTTTTTTTTAAATAATCTTTGCATTTGATATAGTACCTTTCAAAGTGCTTCACAGGATTTACTGAAAAGCATAGTGATTTTTCTAGCTGAACGCAGCAGCCAATTTGCACACAGAAATGTCCCACAAATAGCTATGGAATGAAATTTCCATTTTATTTGGGAAATTGTTGGCCATGACACAGGAACAAACTCAATTTTAAGGAACTTTTGGTGAATTAATTTTTTTCCATTATAAAATCTTCCATTTTGCTATTTCATAAGAAGCCAGTTGAAAAATATTATTTTGTCACTTTTGTCCTTTCCCCTCTTTCTTTTCATCCCCTCTCTTCCTGTGCCTCTCCAGTATGCACACCATCTGCATTTTCCTTCTCACAGTTCCTGCTACTGCTTGTTCAAAGATTTTGATTTAATTTATTTAGTGAGTACTTCAGGAAAGTCTACCCAGTATTCTGTTCTGTTTATTCTAATAGCTAGAGATATCTTCCTCTTATCTATCTTCCTATAGCAAGCTCATGTAGGATCCTTCCAACTTGTGGAAAAGAGTGAAACAAAATGCTTTAACAGCCATGATCTTCAGAGCTTGATTTCGTTCTTCTGGAAGCATGGCCTACTCTGGAGAAAACTTTGAATAAAATGCTGTAATCTATTTCAGCACTTCAAACAAATAAACTATTACACCCTACTTTTTTAACATGCACTATATTGTATTCCACATTAAACCTTCAAATGTTGGAAGATATAAAGTACCTGCACTCTTAAAGGTCCACATTTCAGATTCAAAGGGTTGCATATTCTCTTGTCTACCCTGATTTGTTCGGAACAAAAGTTACAATTGGGGATGTAATTTTTAAAAAAAGATGAGGTGGTTAAAAATGAACCATTTCTTCACAGGATTGTAGAATATTTTACCCACAACCAAAAATTTCTAAATGTATCTTGACCCATGTATCTTCCCGGTTCCAACCAGCATTTTTCTCAGTACAAGAACAGAAGCTGCTGAATGAGTAATGCTTCTAAGTCATATCCCTCCAAAATAGGGATGTGAAAGGGACAAGATATGTTTTCCCTTCTTCCTTACCCCCTACTCCTGTTGGGCATAGAAAAATGTGAATTAACTTTTGATTGCAGAACTAACAGAAACAGTTTTTGCAATAGTTCACCATGAATCAGAAGCTTTTCATTACCTATAAATCAACTTTGATATTTGCAACGGTAAATAGACTAGATTAAACTAGTTACAAAGGCGTTTGGGATGGGTTGGAGAAATTTTATATGGTCAAAAGAGCAGTCTTTGATTATGGTATGAATTAAGGCCTGTTGAAATCTGATTCAATTATCTTCTGCATCCAGTTATCAAAAGATATTTTATGAAATTGAAGACCATTAGCGGTATTAAATCTTTAAATGAACTGTGAACTGGATGATAACTCACACCTCGCAAAATTAAGATAGATTGTCTAACTGCAAATAATACTAAATTTATTTTACAATAAAAAGATTCCATATAACTAACTTCATTTAAACAGAATGTGGACCCCAACATTATCAAACTTTTTTTAAAAAAATCTTGTTGTTGTGCTATTGAAATCCATCGGGGCACTTCAAATCCTGTTGTTTTGTTTCATAATATGTTAATGCAACTCTGGAATTTGAAGTTTCTGATTGCAGTGATTGCATCATTCACATGATTGTGACATCTTAATGACCAGAGGCTGCTATTGACCAATTCCTATTGTAAGACGGCTTGGAAATTTATTGATTCCCAACCTTCTACCAACTAGAGTTCTACTGTAGAGGTTATGATATTCCCTGTATTAGTTGAGCGTTAGCAACTAACTGGTGCAATATTTCTGGTCCAATATTGTGCTTCAAGAGTTGACAGTCCACCACTGGCCCAAAGAAGTATTGAATTGCCATTTTGTGTAGGTTTAAAGAATAAAAATGTCAAGTATATTCAAAGGAGTTAAGATCACAGTGATGTACCACCAGAGCTTTACTCTGCATCAGGTCTACTGTGGTTTTTTAAATGCGATTCATAACTTAAATGCTGTATCAAATGGTTGATATAATTTAAGATTGATAACTTTTTTTTTTGCAGGATAAAATGTTCCATTTCTGGATAAATACGTTCTTCATCCCACCACCAAATGAGAATTTAGATAAGGTAGAAAATGGCAGCATAGTTACAGAAAAGGAAGGTGACAATTGGTGCTATGGTACAGAGCGTACAGATAATGACAAGGAATATCTGGCCCTTACATTGACTAAAAATGAACTTGACAAGGCAAATAAAGACAAAGCCAACAGATATTTTTCACCAAATTTCAAGGTTGGTAAAAATATTTCATTTCTAAGATTTAGAAACTGAAAATTTAAGTCAATATTTTCCGAAGCTTAAACCTTGCTGAATGTTTTTGTGTTCATTAATGCTACTCTTTCTTTACTATTCAATTTTATTGTAATTCTGCAATGGTCTGTTAAGTAGCTGGTAATTTCTTTTGGAAACTAAGATATCTGGCTGAATATTTTATCATCTCGGCGTCTTTTGAAGGAGTCAATTGACAAGGAGTCATTTTGCTTGCATTATGGTCCCTCTCTTGTCTTTCTCCATCTCCATTCATTCTATTGTGTAATGTCATTCTGAACTGCTCTCTTGGTTATTTGTATGTAGATTTTTTTTGTGTGCAGTGTGAATTGGTGGTGTATCCTTTTTTTAAAAAAATTCAATAACATTTTGTTGAGCTTTCAACAAAGTTAGTTTTGAATGGTTCCATTAATACATTTTCATGCTTTGTTCAGTTTTGGCCTTCTATGAGCTAGTTGATTATAGCTAATCCAGCACCCAACTTCAGGATCCAGATTGTATGTTATGGATCCTTTCCAGTGAAAGTATCAGTTTTCTAATGTTGTACAACTTTCAAAAGTGAAACTTTTCCGAAACTGAAGAAAGGAGCATTTTTAGATGTAATTCTCTGTATGCTGTGTAGGCTATGATGTGATGAGAATGATCAAGTTCAGTTTTTTCCAATGCACTAGCCTACAGTTGAATCAATTCGGAGAATGCCAAATTATGATTACTCTTTCAATCTTTGCACCGATTTATGGAACTCTCAAGCATTCCACAAGCAATATTCCACACTATCTCATATGGTTAGGGAGAAGGCATTGGGATCTTCAGAGACTCAAAAGAATTTGAATGTAACTCTCTTGAAGCAGCCACTTTCAATTTGTTCTAAGCCTGATTGACCCTGATGCGCAACAAAAGATTATGACGAACCTCGTGATAGTCATTTCTTGCAAATGGAAAAGTCATTGGTCACAAAGAATCTATTAAGACACGAGAATTGATTTAGTCCCAAGTCATCCACTATAGTGAACAATGTTTTTCACAGCAAATGACAAATTATGATTACTCTTTCAATCTTCACCCCAATTTATGATAGTGGCTCTGCATACATAAGTATCCGCAGTCCAGGCCCTAGCAGTAAACTGGTAGGTGGCACTAATCCACACTGTTGTCATTGGGTTTTTCCAAGTGTGGCGGGTGATCATCCTACCTTTAAGGAGGAAGATGAATGGATTACAGTCTTCGAGCATCAGTCATGAGATCAAAACTATTCTTAGGGTAACAGCTGTATCTCTTGATGACTGTTAGACATTGGTAGTTGGCTAGTTGGGACTCTGTTCTAGAAGACATGGAAACTATTTTTAGAACCAGTGGAGGTATGCCCAACCTATTGCTTTCCAAGCTACCAGGTGTTTTGGTTCTCTCAGCAACCACAAGCTATTTTTGAGACTGCTGACCTCTTTACACTATCCTTCCCCCCTCAAAACAGCCACTATCACCCCCACCTTGAAGAAACCTTCCCTCGACCCATCAGAGCTATCTAGCTACCAGCCCATCTCAAATCTCCCTTTCCTATCCAAGGTTCTTGAGAGAGCCGTTGCCTCCCAGCTTCGCTCTTTCCTCTCACTCCCTCCATGAACCGCCCCAATCGGGTTTCCGTGCAGCCCACGGCATGGAAACTGCTCTGGTCAAGGTAACAAACGACATCCTGACCATGGGTGACCAGGGCTCCCTCTGCCTCCTCGTCCTCCTCGACCTCTCTGCCACCTTTGACACAGTGGACCACTCAATCCTCCCCCACCGCCTCTCCTCCCACCTTAACCTTCAAGGTTCTGTCCTTGACTGGTTCAGGTCCTACCTTTCACACCGCCTCCACTTCGTCGCGACAAACTGCTTCTCCTCCAGCCCCCGCACTGTCTCGTGCGGTGTTACTCAGGACTCTGTCCTCGGTCCCTCCTCTTCACCCTTTACATGCTCCCCCTTGGTGACGTCATCCACAGACATGGGGTAAATTTCCACATGTATGCGGATGACACCCAATTCTACCTCTCTGCCTCCACCCTGAACTGCAGGACTACTGGCGTCCTGACCGACTGCCTGTCCGACATCAAGTCCTGGACAAGGGCCAACTTTCTCAAACTCAACATCAGCAAGACCGAGGCCCTCCTGATTGGCTCGCGCCAGCACCTCCGCACCTCAGGTGCTGGCAGCATTAGCCTCCACGGCTGCACACTCAACCTCACTAAGCCAGTCAGGAACCTGGGTATCTTGTTTGACCCTGAATTGTCCTTTCTCCCCCACAACCGGCCATGACCGGACTGCCTACCACCACCTCCGCAACATTGCCAGACTCCGCCCCTGCCTCACCCCTCAGGCTGCCGAAACCCTCACTCACGCATTTGTCACCTCAAGGCTTGATTATGGGAACTCCCTCCTCATTGGCCTTCCCAACTCTTCCCTTCACAAGGTGCAGATCATCCAAAACTCTGCAACTTGTGTACTTTCACGCACCAGGCTCCGTGACTCTTATCACTCCCATTCTCACCCGACTCCACTGGCTCTCCATCCCCCAGAGGATCGAGTTCAAGATCCTCGTCCTCACCTTTAAGGCCATCCAAGGCCTTTCCACGTCTTACCTCTCTGACTTGCTGACTCCCTACCAACCTGTCTGCTCCCTCCGTTTATCGGGCTCCATGTCTCCCGCCCTACTATCGGTGGCCGGGCTTTCAGCCTCTCCGCGCCCCCACTCTGGAACTCCATCCCACAGTCCCTTAGCCTCGCTTCCTCCCTTGTCTCCTTCAAGGCTGGTCTCAAGACCCTTCTGTTCGATCGTGCCTTTGGTCTCCCTCTCACCTCTCTGCCTTCCCTCACCCCTACACCACCCCTCTCCCATGCTCAGGCCCCGACACCTGACTGTTCAGCGCTTTGGGACGTCTTCCCAACGTGAAAGGCGCTCTATAAATGTAATTTTGTTGCTTGTTTACAAGCCAGCTACACATCTCCTATTCAGCATTTAGTTTTCAACAGTAACAATTCTTCACCAAATGTCATGGTGTAACTGGACAAAAACATTGAGTATTCTAGTTATTGGTCTGTTTGTCTGCTGTCTGATATCCAGGTCGCACTGGCTTGGCATCAGCATTCTAGAACTCAGTTCATCTCTGAGGATGTCTATCACTCTGCTGAACTTGTCACCTAAAAATCAGGACCTTGCTCATTACAGAGTGTTCCTGTTTGTGGCACATGTGATTACATAATTCCTATGTGTAACTATTGAATGCTGGATGTTGCTCTGAAGCCTGGATGCTATGTTACATACAGGTAAATAGTTTAAGTAGTCAGCAGTTTATTTTGTCAGTGTTTACTGCATGCATGATTTATTCTTGCACCTAAAGGGTTAATGGCACTTGAATACTAGAAGCTTATTTTATAAACGTGGTATTTTTAGGGGTGCTTTCTAGAAAAATTAGTCTGTTTTGTGAACTGTAGGAAGTCCCTTTTGACTTTGAAATGCAAATTAATTGCTCCAGAATTATTGAATTATTGAAATCAATGAGTAACCTGCCTAATGTGCATCTTGTTGTGTATTTCATGCGCTACAGGTGAAGCTGTTATTCACAAAAACAGTAGAGGAACGACAACCACATCCTTTGGGCAACAGTTCAACGACAGTAACGCCGGATGTTAGTGATAATGAACCAGAGGACTATAGATACTCAGACACCACTGACTCTGACCCAGAGAACGAACCTTTTGATGAAGATCAGCATACGCAGATAACAAAAGTCTGAAATATTTTTATGGGAAAATTAAAACTATGAGAGAAAAAGGAAACAAACTTGAAGAAACTGAAAGCAAGTACCTTTTTTAATGGCAATAGGACAATGTGTCAAGTAAAATGCTACACCGACTATAGGAACAATGATCTTTTCCTGACCAATGTTGTTTAGCCCCATACATACATCCACGAGGTTTTGACACTGTTGTCCAATGGAAAAGATTGCGTAGGTATGTTATGTATATACATTTTTTGTGTCAAATGACATATAAAAGCGCAATCAGGAAAAAGGAGGCACTTTCCCATTTAATTCCAGTTTTATAAAAAGTGGAGACAGATCTGGTGTGTATGTAGGAAAATGTTTCCTTTTGTGTTATGTTGCCAACATTAGGTGCTAACTTATCTGTACAAAGGGTTTATGCCCTGCCCCCCCCCCCCCCCTCCCCCCACCACCACCCAAAAAAACAGATCAGTCTGTTAACGGCTAGGAGGATTTTGGAAAAGGTTTGCATAAAATGCATGTTTTGGGAAAAGGGATTAGAAAGGATGCACAGAAAGGAAAAAGATTGGTTGCAGTACCACCTAAAGTACAATGTTTGCACCTTTCTCTGAGGTGTTAAGCCTAGCAGGTTGTGGAATCGGCTGCTACTGCTGCTTGCTTTTTGTGCTTTCAAAGCACAGTGGTGCTAGAAGAGGCAGCTGCATGGAGCAATTCTTTCTGGGAAGAGGCTTGAACCTTGGACAAAAAAAAATCTTGCAGGCCCACAGATCTACACATTGTGGAGTCCAAATAGAGTAATTTTCAAGCTTTTTCCTTCCTTTCTTGGGGTGTCACAAGCTGGAGTCCCTTGGTAAAATTGACTCAATCTTAGAAATGTGGCAGTATGTCAGCTCAAAGTTATGACAGTTTATGTGATAAAGGAGAATTTTACAATGATTTAATAAGTTAGCTAGAGTTATTTTAATTGGTGCTGCTCCACTATGTCCTGTGTAACCAAGGCCAGTGCTCGAAGTTGATCATTCTTTAGATATTACTGTTTTGGACTTTAAGTCAGTCAGTATCTATATAACCTTTGTTACGTTTTGAGTAGTTACTAGTTGCTTTATTTCTTATTTCTATTGGCAAGTTGCCTTTTTTTCCTCCAGATCTAGTATTGGCATATGAAATGTAGTAAGGGAAAATATGGATTGGGAGTATGCAGCATATTTAGGTGACGTTTGTTCCATATGTAGTTTGTGTTACATGTGAGTAAACCGGAAAAACTGTTGTAACTGATGCTTCAACAGATTTTAACAAGAGGTAATTGTATACACACAGGATTTTAACATTAGAAATGAGGATTCTTGTATTCATGTTCTAGCAAATTGTGTATACCTTGATCATTAGTAGCAGCATGAAATGAAATTCTGTTGTGCTCTGTTGGTTAATGTATTAAACTGTAGCTGTTGTCATTTCCTGTAATTGTAAGAAAATAGAACTGCATACTCCCGCAGGGGCCAGCCAAATGGAGTTGCCCGGACTACAGAAAAGGTAGTCTGATGTGAGCCATTTAACAGCCCAGTATATGTCCTCTTTTCAAGAGATAATAACAGTGTTTTAGTTGGAAAAATGGTATTTTGCTGGAGGTTATTGCATTAAATTTTATCTGTTAGTTTCACTACTTCAGCACAGAGATTAATATGCTTGGCCGATTGGTGATGGACAACCAACATTACGTCCAGTTAGGCCTGGAAGTAACTCCCCAAAACATTTAGTGTTGGCTAGTGTCTAGATGTTTCAGTTCAGGTGTCTGTTCTTACTATAAACTGAGTCTTTTAGATCTTTCTTTGTAGTGGTGCTTCAAAACTGTCCAAAAGCTAATGTGCAGAGCATGAGTTGTGCAGTGAAAGAGGATTGGACAAATGTAGCTCAAGAGGGAAGGAAATATAGGTTCCTAGATGAAATTATAAGCTTCTATTGACAGTTTTCTTTTATTGATGGAACCTTGTTTTTTTAATTTTCATTCATTCCCCCTTCCTTTCAGAATTCATTCACTTCTGTTAATTACAACTGAACGTTTGAGACATGCCACTTGTGAAGAGTTTCCTTATGTATATCATCTTTCATAAAGACGTTTACCACTAAATCTTATTTTTATATTGATAATAAAAGGAAATTTTGAGAACCAGGAGCAGGCAATAAAAGCCAGTTTGTAAAAGGTGCATAAAAACAAGTGAAGGAAACCTTTCCTGCCTTACATGCCTTGGAAATACTTAGCTTGTGCTTCAGGCAAAGTATTTATACAGCTTTATTTTCCCTTTCACATTATGGGAAAAGAGACGGCCCTTTCATCTTTAGAACACTGAGTATAAAATTCACAGTGTCACGTAAAACGCTAAGGGGCCGGGTAAGAGCAGCTGCATATTGTACTGGGCTTTTGCACTGTAAGTTTTTTTTCATTTTCTGTTAAAAATCGAGGGTGTATTGGGGTCCATAAACAACTTTTCCAAACCTTCTAAAGGCTTTGCATGCTGAAGGTGGAAAAATTGGCATTAGTATGTTTTCATATTCTTGTATTGATACCATCCCTGTCAAGCCAGATCATGCGTTACTTTGACTGAAAAAGTTGTCCAGTCTTTTTTTTATTTATGACAGTATTCATAATTAGTCCGGAAAATACATTCTGTAGGTTATCACTTGAGTTTCCAGACTATATGCTTAATAAAAATTATTTGGATGTGCAGCGGCTTAATGTCTGAAATTGTTTGTTGACAGCATCACTGTAAAAGAATTTACCTGGCCATCCTTAATCATCTGTAGCCCCACTGAAATATATTTGCCACAGTAAATCAGAAATGGCAGTTGCATGGGTAGCCTCAGGGGTCCTGCACTGTGGCACAAGATATAGGCTGAGTGGATTTCACAGGCAGCATCAAATATCCAAGTTTCAGCTTTAAAATACTCATAAGGTGCCAGTGTGAGAGTCCATGTCATTAGTAATACCAGATTTGTGCAATATGTTTAACAAAGCCTGTGGTTGCCACAAAGTGCCTCTTGTTTACTTAAAATACTGTTAAATTCTGTCATCATGCATGCAGATGGAAAGGGTGGCACTGTGCACTATAAAGGGGCTTCACTGCAGTGTAGGACAAAGCTGCCTGCTGCTCTGCCTGTTCAGATTTGGATTTCATTTCATATAGAATATGTATACAAAATATATTTTCAGCCTGTAAAACAGCCTTATTGCAATTCAGCCTGTTAAAGATACTATTGTGCTGTGCAGCTACTTGCTCTGTGTGTAATGCTATGCACTGAGAATACACAAAAAGTAAACCAACCAATGTAAGAATTGTACAGGTAATTGCTCATAAAACAGATCTCCATTGTTATTGTATGTGTTGTTTAACTACCCTTTATCTTACTGTTATAAACTCCACATAAAACTGATTAAAGTCTCATTCTTGTCACTGTGCATTGGTCATATGATCTCAATTGTTCTGTCTTGAATGATTCTTCAAAATGTGTAATTTTACTAAATTAATGTCATATGTGTGGAAATAGTAAAGGTAAAAAACTTGGTCTTACAAGCAGTTAACCAGAAGTTGTATGAATACGTTTTTTGAAGGGAAAATAAGGTTCTGATGCTGTTTAAGGTACTTTTTCACTTTGATAGCAATATTAACAATAATCTGTTTTGCTAACAGATTGTTTTGCAGCCATTCTGGTGAAGACGGTCTTTACATTTGATGAGCTATTTTAATTTCCTAATTTTTTTCCAGATCAGGTGATTTGACATGTTTTCAGGAATAAATCGGATATAAATTTCCTATTGTATTTTTCCCACAGTCTTCACAATTTCATCAGTTATAGAATCAAAAAAAATTAATCTCTAATACAAACTAGAATTAGGCTATTATCCAAACAGTGTTGGAAGTGAGACATCATTATTTCAAGTGGCCATATGACTATGCAACAGCTGTGAAGTTCCTACTTCATTTTTTCCTTCTGTCAGCAGTTTTCTTTTTTTTTCATTTAATGTTTTTCCAGCAACCACTTATTTTAAAAGAAAATCTTTTGGATTAATTTTTGCCTGTTTTTTAGTGTTCTGTACTGCTTTTCATATGCTTCAATTGAGTTCTATTTGGTGTTCTTGCTTTCTGAAATGGTATTTCTTGTTCTACCAACAAAAGATTTTCAGTCATTGATTAGCATAAGTGGTTGAGGTGTTTATTGTGGTCTGAAGCTTGCTCTCTTCAATCATGCCTGAATTAAAAAGATGCACTTCTTCGATAGCTTCAGCTAAATCTGGATGCCTGGAAAGCTTATTCCATGCGTTCTTACAAGGCCGTCCCTTGGAGGATCTTCTTTGGGATGAATGGCATTTGGATATTTAAAACATATTTGTTCTGTGGTCCCAACTTGCAAATCTAAATTCTCTTTAGAACTAGTCCAGCTCTGACGAAGGGTCATGGACCCGAAACGTAGACTCACTTTCCTTTCTCCATAGATGCTGCCTGACATGCTGAGTTTTTCCAGTGACTTGTTTTTGTTTCAGATTTCCAGCATCTGCAGTATTTTTTGTTTTGATCAATTGAAAAGAGTTTGTTTACCAAGACATTTGTAAATCTTTGGAAACATTACAGAGGTAATGTTCAACAATGATGGGGACTGATGAATTTTTGTGCCTTCATTCCAGAGGAGACCCTTTGACTCTCTTTGTGGTTTCCTCAATGATATTCTATAAACAAGTGAAACATGGTTAAAGTTTTGATGCTTAACAGTCCAAGTTACAGGCAGCTGGGTGAAGTCTATAAACACTCCGAACATTTTGTGATTCAGTGGAAATAATCATATTGATGATTGGGTGAAGAAATAAGTTTATTAATATTGTTTCTGAAGAATTAGCCCTTTGTTGAGGAGCCTTTTTAATCTCAGAGACTGGTCGTACCAGGTACTTTTTTTTTCTCACTCAGAACATTCAAGTCGACAAGGAAGTATCTAAAACCTTAAAATGATGCTGTCAAAATGTACCTGTGAAGTGGAAACCCAAACCAGTCATTTCATTTTCCTCACAAGATGGATTGCAGAACCCTGGATCCACAGGGTGGATACAGATTTGTGCACCACTTGATACAAAGCCAAGCTAAATGTGCAGTCTGACGTTTCTCCAGGGAACAACTGTTGTGTAAAGTTGGTATTCCACTGGTCAGATGGTACTTTAAGTACTCAACATTAGATGCATGAAGGAGAAAGAAGGTTCACTTCCATTTGTAAATAGTACCACTAGTCTTCAGAAATGCAGTCAGTCTTTCTGATGAACTGCCTGCATCGTTGTTCTGGTTGGCATTAATGATCTCCTAGCATCATTTGAAAAGAGAACTGTTTCAATGTCCTGGCCAACAATACTCTTGTTGGCCAAGACATTGAAACGGTTCTCTTATTGTAAGGAT